GGGAGGCGGAAGTGGGGGAGGGGCGGCGGGCACACTCGCCCGCCTCTCGCCCGACAGCCTAAGGTAGCTCCTTCGAGCGTGACGACTCGTTCTTCCAGGGCGGGCAAAAAGTTACCCAGACGCATCTTTCCTCCCTCTGACCAGCCGGGCTCCGCCACACTCCACCCTCGCCGCCGACGCCCGTGCGCTGGAGTCCGCGCGCTCGGATGCACTTGCTGCACCCCCGCCCAGCGCGGACCCGCTGCGGGCACACGCGCCGGCTCTCTGCCCACGCACACTTGCTGCTCTCCGACTCCTGGGCAGCGCCCACGCAAAGACTCCACACCCACACCCTGACTCCCGGCACCCTCGGCCACACTTGCCACGCTTACGCGCGCACTTCTCGAAAAGGCGCACTCTGGTGAAGAAAGGGTAGGGACCCGCCGGGGGGAGGAGGGGCACTGACCCGGTGCCGCCCAGTTGGGCAGGTGCATTGCGGCGGAGGACCCCCAACCCTGGGACTCAGCCGGCTGCCCCTGATTCCTGGCTCCAAGACCAGACAGAGCCGCCGCCCAAACACCCAGCGCACTGGGCGGGGTGGGCGCCAGGACCGGGCGGGTCGGGGCTGGAGGGGTGGGCCGCTGCGTCGCACCCGTAGACGCCGGCAAGCAGCCAACACCTCCACGGTGCTAAGAGGGGCGCTGCACGTCCGGCATGGCGTGGGTGGAGGGACGAGGCGGAAACTGCGGGCCGAGAGCGGAAACGCTTGCCCCCTTCCTAGCGTCTCCTGGCTCAGACCAATTCCAGAATTCCAGTCTACTAGCCCCTGGCCAAAACTCCGTGGCCATTCTCTTCCTCCTCCCTTCCCATCCATCCCCTTGTGGTCTTAGCTCCGGAAACAGCGTGGGGACGACCCGGGCGGTGGGGAGGGGGTATCCGTCGGAGATGCTCCTGCCGAGGGGTCACTTGATCATTTATTCAACAAGCATCCGCGAGCAGCCAGGGGACGTCCTTGGCACTTTCCTCTCCCACGCCGCCCACATTAAAATACACCTCCATTCCTGTCGAGTCTCTTTCCTAAATCTCTCTCTATCCCACCATTCCTCTCCGTTTCCAACACCATCTCTCGCTTGGGATCTTACTGTGGTAGCCTTCTATCTGGTTTTCCTGTACTCACTCTGTCCCAGATACACTCCATTCCCCACACAGCAGTCAGTTGTCGTTTCAGAACACAAGTCTGACGTACCACCCCCCTGCTCAAATCTCTCCATTGTTAGAATAAAATCCAGGCGCTGATATCTGAGCTGAGTCTTAGAAATCAGTTCAACAAGCAGAGAAGAGGAGGAGGGGCACGTGCAAAAGGATGGAAGTATGAAAGTCATGACACATTCAGGTTTCCCCGACAGGGGACCAGCACTGTACAAATATCAAAGCACTGCCTCTTCTAGCATATTATTGGGATCTCAAAACAATCCTGTGAGATAAATACAGCAAGGCAGCTTTCCCACCTGTTAACAAGTGTGGAAACTAGTTTTGGGGAGGCAACAGTGCGGTGGTTAAGATCACAGGCATTGTAGCCAGACCCTCTTGGGCTGCAGGTCTACTGTGGCCTCTAGCCAGCTGGGTAACTTCTCTGATGCTTTATTTCCTTGCCTATTAAGTAGGGATAATTAATCCCTACCTCTTGTGAGATAATAAATATAAAATGCTTTGAACAGGACTTGGGCACTTTGGAGATGGTCAACAAACATTAGCTGTTTTGATTGTAATGGGTTCTAAGAAAGGGAGAGAACTGTTCTCTTCCACCAATTCCTGAAATTATAGAAAGTAAGCCCTACTTGTTGACATTTGCACAGTTTATTATGTGCCAGTCACTATTATAAGTGCTTTATATATATGAACTCTTTAAATCCTCTTAACAATCCTATGACGTAAGTACTGTTATAATTTCAATTTTACAGACACAGAAACTGAAATAAAAAGGTGAAGGAACTTGTCCAAGGCCCTACAGCCGTAAGTGATGGAGCTGGAATTTGAACCCAGGTAGGCTGCCTTCAGAGACTGTGCTTGTAACCACTACTCCCAGCCTGTTCCCCTTTTATCATGTTATAGTTCTCATCTTCCAAGAAATATTTAAGTCAGTTTGATTCTTTTATCTCATTAATGGATGACTCCATTAATACTTGGTCCCATTGTCTAGCACAGAAGAAAGAGGCCAAGTCAGGAGTACAGTGGATCAGAGCTCAGCTTCCAAAGTCACCTCCCCACTTTTCAGATTTATCCTGGGAACAGGACTCCATGGATTATTTTAAGCTCAAGATGACAAAAGATCAGGAGCCTCTGTCCCTTCTCTTTGCCAAATCTTTGACATAAGAGGGGAGGAGGGAATATCCAAGCTGAAAATAATTCAGAAGGTTAAGCTGGAAGGGTGTTATCCAAGAGAAAGACCCAGGCAGCAGGCCAGGAGTGGATGGCCAAAGGAGTTGAAGAGAACAGTGAAAAAGTAGATGGCTTGAGATTTCTGGCTTCCATCTAGCATGCAAAAAGCTGGGAAAAGCATCATTACCTCACTAATGACAATTTTTAGTAATTGTTGGTAATCTACAAAGTCATAACTTTTGTCAAACCCCTCAAAGAGCTGAGGCTGCAAAGCAGCCAATTAACCTGAATTCCAAAGAAGTACAGAGGCCTCAAAGGAGAGATGGGATGCAGGCACTGGCTCACTTGTGAAGCAGGAGGAAAATGAGGTCTCCATGCAAGTGGGTAAGAAGAGTTCAGCTAAAATTTTTATTGAATTTCAAAAGGCCCAGTGTGGCTAGCATAAGAGTATAGAATCTGTGGGAGCCACAGACACTGATGTAATCACAGAAACAACAAAACCCAAACCTAATTCAACTCCTGACAAG